TATATATATATATCTCATTTAGTCATTCTTTTCACTACTCATAAATAATAATTTCAAAAATATATTTATACTAAAGTAGAACATTCTATCAAGAGCCAAATAAGCATATCAAATGAACTGATTAATCTTTCATTAATATAAATTTCATCAGTAATTAAGATACATAGAAGAACATGAATTGTATATGACTATTTTCTTCATGTAGGACACAAAATATTCTAAAAAAAAAATCATACGAAAGTACATCAACATATATAAAAAGGAAATATATAATACTTAGGACGTACAAAAAGGAGCAAAAAAAAAAAAATTATTGCGCATACAAAATAATTTGCAAAGTTCATTTTTGCATGATAATCATTTACATGAAGATCATGCTAGGTAATTTATAGAAGTAGCTATGATGAACTTTGAGTAGATAATTAATTTACATTAAATTATCAATGATTTTAGTCCATATCAAATTTGTTTAACGGAAAAACTCTTCAAATACTCCTGATTTTTACACTAATAAAGTAATTAATTATTAATATGAATTTGATTCATGCATCAATCTAAATGAGTTATTGATTAATTATTTGATTATATTTTATAATAGTTATTTTAATTATTTTAATATAAGAGTAAAGTGATAATTCGACTTTGAACTTTGGATCTTCTCACTTATAATATGATATATCAGTATCCACCTTTGAGCAAGATATAATTTATCAATGATTCATTTGGTTCGTTGCTTGTTTTTGAGTAATTTTCAATGATTTGTCACATGTCACATACTAACAATAAATTTCGATGCACAAAAACTTGGTTCGGTTTGATAGGGAAACAGATCCAAATCGAACCATCATTAAACTATATGCATCATTACATGTATCACTTGCTCAAACTATGAATTCAATTGCATCAGGTAATTGCAACTTTCAGCAAGTAGAGGAAATGTAAAAGGAAATTAGACACAAACTAAGAAAAGATGATATGCCGATAATGTGAAGATTGCAGTTACGACTTACAATAATCAAACGCCCACCACGAGTCACTTATCTTCCCTCATTACTAGTCTATACCAGTTCTCCGTGACCATCCAAGATGCATCGCGGTCAGGTGTCTGAGATACCGTATTTACCACCTTAGCAGCAAGTCATCGATCTTGCCTCGTGTGATTGTTGGAGACAAGGTAGAGCTCGCTCTAATTGGCTACTAGATGAAATGTCTCACAGCTGTCCATTTGCAGGATCATGAGACAAGGGTTGCTCAATGCTGCACGCTGCACCCGTGTTGGATCCTCCAAAAAGGATCAGACAACATCGCTCTTAAGTACCTCAGACTTGTTTCTCATAAGAACTGACCATCAATGATCTCAATAAGGTTTTCTCAGCCTCACAATTAATCCAAAAGTTCATGGCATAAAGCTAGGAGCTCTGTCTACCGTAGCGTCTCTGCCTTTGTTGAAAGGAACACAAAGCCTCTAAAAATTCAGCTTCTCCAAAGTCGGGCCAATGTGAATGTGAAAAGAACAGTTCAGAATAAGCCAACTGCCAGAGTAAGAAATTGCTAAGCCTTAGCTCCCCACTAGTCCTTATAAGCAAATCAGGACAAGGGAAATCGATACAGTTTGTTTGTAATTCCTGCTCTATTAGGAAACTATTAATGTCTTTGGTTTCGATAATGTCATCCTTCACTTTTTGAGCGATCGTTTGACAAGCTTGTACAACATCATGCTGTCCACTATAGTTAACTGCAACAACGAGGTGAAGTCGTGAATTTTCCTTTGTAGTCTTTACAGCTTTAGCTATTAAGTCCTGCAATGACTTCGGGAGCTTACTGGAGTCTCCAATTATAGATATTCGAATCCCTTCTCTGTAGAAATCCAATAAAGCATATAAGGGAACTCCTTAGACTATACAGAATCGATCATAATATCTAAAAGTTAGAACTTTAAGAAGAAAAAGAGGAGAAGTTAACAAATATGTATATTTTGGCAATGCAAATCAGAATTGGTACTTATGAAGTGGCAGTACAAACATAATGAGCCACTTAAGTCAAAGTTATTGATGAACCAGCCTTAACACGTTCAGCATTCATCTCCACAGTAATTTCAGCCAATTAATGATCTTAGTCATCTTACCAAAGCAATTGCACTAATAGAAGTTGAAACTTCCGATCAACCAGTGTAAACACGTTTAAACATTTGTTTTGACAGTAATTTCAACTGATTAATGATCTAACAATAATAATATTGGGATTTTGACTACTTCTGACTTGTGAGGCAATACTACAAAATTGTAGTATAGCACACAACAAGATTCACTAAAGCCATAGCCTTATGAGCCGCTCTGTGTACTAAGTGGTTATTTGGTTGATGAAATAGTTATACAATATTTATACAAAACAATGATGTTATGCAATGAAAACAGGAAAGTGTGAAATTAGATTTGGGGGTCCCAACATCGGGTGAGACGGCCCTGCTCTGATACCATGTTGAATTAAGTCTTAGGCCTTAACTCACACCTCAAAAGGAGGAGAATTGTCTGTGTTAAGAGCATTTGCTTGATGTTGAGCATTTGCTTGATGTTACTATTATATTTTTTCCACATTCTATCACGCATAAAACAAAAAACACTACATTCATCACATAGATATATAATACCGGAAGCAAACATATTAGTTATGCAAGATTACATTAGCAATCAAGACAACCACTAACCGATCTAAAATTAAAACACACATTTTTCATGAGTGTTGACAAAACTACAAACATCAATGTTGATTCAGAATTTGAAGTATAGGGATTCGATTGGCATTTACCTGGCAAAATTTTCAAGCTCATCATTCAGAGCTCTTTCGAATAAGCTCATCAAAATATCAACTTCCACCTATAACATAAGCAACAAAAAAAAAAAGGTTCAGCAACAGCAAACACAAACAAATTACACAACACTGTATAAAAGGTAACTTATAGACTTTACTTTAGGACGTAACCAATTATCAGAGGAAAAGGCAAACAAAGTAAGAACCATAATTCCCCAATTTCCACACAGCTCAATAATCTTCCTAACAGCTCGAATACCAGCTTCATAACCTAAGGCAACCGGCAATCCTCTCATTTTAGCCCACCTTCTATTCCCGTCCATTATCAACGCAACATGTTTCGGCATCAGTTCTCGCCTGAGCTGTGGAGGTAAAGATACTTCCTCAGCTGAACCGTCAATGGCGGCGACGCCGGTGTCAATGTTGCTGACGGCGGCATTTTGAGCAAAGGCGAGTGGATGAATCGACGGTAATTTGAGGGAGATTAGAGGATTAGTTATTGATTTTGGTTGAGAGCAAAATCTAGTGTACGAAACGAAGATTTGCTGGAGCTGGAGTGAGAACGCCATTTTTGTGAAGGGAAAAAAAGCTTTGACTTTGGAAGGGGATTACTTTCAACTTCCAAAAGACTTGTAGGGTTGATAATAAACCAAAGGTTGTGAGAAAAAGACAAAAAAAGGTCAAAAATAAGAAGTACTTGACATAATTTTCTAACTCCAAGATAAATTATCGTAAGATCTTATTCTTCAATTACATGTAGTAGAATTTATTTTTTTTAAGTTCTTTGTGAATTTTATCCTTTCGTTCAAACGATTCGCAAGGGATAGTCACTTTCAGTTAATGTGATTTGAGCTGCTTCCAAGTTAAAAACACAGAATATGAGATCTGAAAAGGTCATTTTACTCTATTCAATTGAGATCATTTCCATCCTAAACATATCAAATGAACCATTACAAGGCTAACTGTTACATTTCCTCCATTCAGGTACTTCAATTACATTAAGAACTTTTCATATCGGGGGAGCATTAACGAGGAGTATTCAGAAGATGTACGAGCCGCATCTAATGGAAGAATAACACATGAAGATACAGCAAAGGACACTAGACCCCTGTGCCCTCACGGTGGAGGTAGCTAGCACAAAGTTAAATCTCAGTTCCCTAAGCTCTCTGATACTGCTTCAGTGGCGCTGGTTTCTTTGGGCTTAATGCAATACACACGAGATCCCAAATGGTTTACTTCAAGACCGGCCTTTACACATCCTGTGAAGAAGAGTGACTCGTCTTCTTTCCCTATCCTGCGCCTCCAGCTCATCAAGAAAGCTGGCCGAGGCAAAGGACATGTATCTGAGCCATAAGTTTTGATAGACCGGTTAATTAGTAATGTCTAAGATTAATCGGTAAGCTTTACAAAAAAGCATGTACTGACCTTTTTCTTCACTAATTCCAGAACCAGTTTCGTTAACTTTTGGCTTGTAGGATTTCAAGAGAAAGCATAGTGTCTTTACCAAGTTCTCATATTGTTTTACATCTGCAAGTAGCAAATGAACAAGAAAAATGAGAATTAAGGGGAAGTTTCGAGGATATGCACAAGTATTACACGCTGACACGTACAAGATAATAGCAAGGGATAGGATGATAGGAAAGATCACGGAGAGCTTGAGGCGAATTACTTACATAGTAAGATATCACTTGCAATTATGAGGTCCCAATCAGGATCAGCTAATGGAAACACATCTCCCCATGAATCTGAGAGCAATGCCAATTTATTTTCGGAAGTTTTCTCAAGAAAGCATAACTTGCATATCAGAAAAGAAGTTAATTTTTCATGGTTTATAGTTTATTCCCAGAGGAATTTGCATTGTGGTGATAAAAGAAGTAAAGGATCAAATGGAGAAAAGAACTAACGCCTTATGTGAGGAAGGGCAGGTGAAACACCATTTGCCTGGCAATTATGAGCTATGTTCTCTTCAATATCAGGATCATCATAGTCCGACGTTGTAATATCAAGTTGATATGATTTGCTCAAGAATATAGCCAAAGCTCCAGTTCCACTGTGACAAACTCAAAAGGTAGCCCGAGGACCACCATTTTCAATAAAGGGAAGGAAGCAGAAAGAGGAAGGAAAAGACACGAGTTGATGTTTATAACTTAATGTTATTCTTATCTTCCACTTTCCTCTTTTCACATTAGATACACATGAGAGCCAAGAGGACAGAAACAAATACAAATAAAATAGAACTCTTTCAGTCAATAGCATGACAGATACAAATGAGATTGCCAACTGAACAAAAAAAAAGAATGAAAAATGATAAAATATTAATGAAGGGCAAACACCTCAGTCCTCACATTGACAAACTTCACAAATCAGAACTATAGATCACCTCTAAAACGTGCAAGTAAAAAAATTCTTCGAACAAAGCAGTGACTGCTCAAAAATATACATTTTATTCAATTCACCAACTGAATTTTTTTTAACTCTGGGATCCTGCTTCATCTTCGATTTTGCTATTGAAGATAAATAGAGATACATATATAGAGAGAGATCTCCACTAGAGGGGTACAGTTTAGATATATGCTTAGGTTTCAGACAAAAAGGAAATAAAATTTTGATCTGAATCCATCCCTCAACAATTTTTTGGAGATATATAGAGCTCACTATTATCCTAGTATTAAGAAGTGCTTTTTTTCTTTTTCTCTTTTTTTTTTTGTAAATCCCACCTCATCAGTTTTTACCTGATGAGTTTTTTGGCGTGAATACAAAGTTACCTTATCAAAAGAAGAAGAGAAGAAGTGTTTTTATTACTGTTCTCTATAACTTAACAGAGCTTAACAGTCTTGAAAGGATATAAGTTGGAACAGCATCGTGCAAACATTGGCTACAGATGAAACTATAGTCACTGAAAATTGCTAATATGGCAGTAACAAGAAACATTATTTGATATTGAAAAGGAAGTTTGTTTCTTAAGATTATAACGAACATGTAAACAGAATAGCAGCAAGGTGCGCTTGCACCATGAGCTTTGAAGCAAAGTTCTACAAAGCTTGTGCAATGGGCACATGCTAAGACCATTTAGCAGAGAAAATACTGAAGAAGGTCCAATCATTTAGGATGAGAAGACAACATATCTAATGCTTTAAGGTATTACCTGCCTAGCTCAATTATGCGACGCCCTCTTAACCAGGACGTATGTTGCGCAAGCCATTCCGCAAATGCAAATGTCCCAGGCCAAAGTAAATTAGCATTCATCTGGTGAAAAGAAAATTCTTGGATGAGCAACTCCTGTGGACAAACCAAAGTGTATTAGTTTTTATGCTGAGCAAAACAATAAACAACGTACACAGAACTCACGATTTACTTTGACAAAAATACAAGGAAGAAGCAGCATTGTGATAAATCCTGAAACATGGTTTGATCCTTATTAACTTCTGACAAATGAAGATTTGGTCAATAAACTGAATACTGATATATAACAATCTCAAGCTATTTATTTAGTTGGAAGACAGTATTTTTGTGCAGAAAAATAAAATCCAAGCCGGATAAGCCCGAACATCCACCCACAAGATAAGGCAACGAGAAAGGAAAATTTTCCAGATAATCGTCCAAGTGAACTATAGATAATTTCGAAAGAATCATTAGATCATTACATTGCAACTTGCAACCACGATGTTTCTTTTAAACCAACAAAAGTTGATAAGCAGCAAGCAACTAAAAATTCTCAAGTAAAAGAAAAGGAACACATCTCATGTCCTTAAGTATAAACATAGTACGTAAAAGATAACAACGTGAAATCAGTGAGTGAATGAATGTACAGACATCATTCTACACCTAAGCCCAAGGGGAAAAGCGACCTCGCGGTTCAAATCCTAGCACAGACATCTTTCCTTCTCAACTAAAGGAACTATCTTTCTGATTTATGAAGTTTGTCAACTAAAGGTGCTGTCTTTCCTTCTCAAAAGAGTACCAAGACTCATGAAATGGGTTGAGCGAGCTCTCGTTTGTTCTAGCCTTGGTGGACAGAAGTATCTAATACTCCCTCCCTCCCTAATTACTTGTCTGCTTTTCCTTTTGTAATTATCCGTAATTACTTGTCCATTTTGACTAATCAAGAAAGGACAATTTTTTTCTATTATTACACCCTCAATTAAATGACTAATAACTTTGAAAAATGTAGAACTTCTCATCCAATTCATAATTAATAGGGTAAAATGATAAACTCACTATAATCATTAATTATTTTCTTAACAAGTTTGTTAAGACAAGTAAAAAGATCGGTGATTCCACATAAGTGATTAATGAGATGGTAGACTCCTGTTAGGACTTGGGCAATACTCCTTCCTTAGAGCTAGCTTTTGGGCGTAAGTCAGGTCTAAGAGCTAATTTCACACTAGTGTCTACAAATCTTTATACTCATTTACTTTTAGCTCTTCAATTTTAATGGTGATAAAGTAATAATACAATTGCTAAGGAACCCAAAACACAGAATTAATAGTAGAAAACACAAATCTAATTGAACTCACCATTTCAGGGAACTGGTGCCTCCTCTCCACAAAATTTTGCTGAGCATCCGTGTTCTCTTCATCTGCAGCAAAAAAAAATTACAACTAATGTAACGTGAATGCATTACGAAAATCATATATGAATATTTTTAGGAATTTTTTTTTAAAAAAAATATTGTACCGGAGGAGTTGCTATCACTGCCGCCGAACAAGGAAGAAGGAGAAAACAGAGCAGTCTCCATTACTGTAATTGGAAAATTTGGGGAAAGACGAACACTTGATTTTTTATCAATTTTATTAATATCAAACCTGGTCCTATATTTTATGTAAATTATAATTTACCCCTCATTTCTTTTAATAGTTTGTCAAGTTTTTAAAATTCTTTTTTTATAGATTTTTTTTAATTTAAAAGTATTTACTTGGAAAAATGATCAATTGATGTTGTTTTTAGGTTTCCTTCTAACTTTCTAGACAAACATTTCTCTTGGATCTCAAATATATAAATCCCACTGGTGTAGGTTCACTCCCTTCGTTTCATTTTATGTAGCATTATTTGAGCCAGCACAGAGTTTAAAAAATAAATAAAAACTTTAAATCGTTTATCAATTGTCCTTCAAAAGTTAACTCATTTTTTTCTCTCCTCATAAATGCATTAAAGTACTTTTTAAAATTAAGTGGACTAACACGGGTAAAAGAAGAATTATACCTTTAAATATTTATCATTATAAGGAGATGTGACATTCTTTTTGGGACTGACCAAGCAGGAAATAATGTCACATAAAATGGGACGGAGGGAGTAACTTAAGAGAATTCTTAGAATTAATTTGGAAAAAATACATAATTAGACAAATATTTTTACTATATTTGTAAATTCTATAAATAGTTTAAAATAATTACATATTTTTTCACTAATTATTAATTTTATACCAGACTTCAAGTTAAATACACATAAATATATATATTTTTGTCATTATATACACTAAAATAGTAAGAGAAGCGAGCCACAAAAAAGAGAGGCTAGCGAGGAGAGTAAGATCTCATGTGAATGAAAAAATTACACATAAGTTTAACCTAATAGATCTGAGGATTGAGATTTATATATTGAGACATATCTGCACACGTCAGATACATGTATTTGAAGTCCGAAATCTGTAAGATTTGTAATATTGTTAACTAGAGTATATCTGAGTAATTAACTCTTAAATTAGTGAGATTTTTGTAAGTTACCTAATTATTTTTCATATTTATTCTTTATTTAATGAGGATTTTTATTTGTTTTATATTTTATAGTAGAATAGTTTGAAAATAATCAAAATCGTAATAGTAAAAAATAGTACTCATTCAGTTATGTCCTTAAATATTTTTATAAAATATGTCATATCCCAATAATACTTAATAAACAGGAAAATACGCTCCTTTCATCCATTATTATTGTCATGATTTTTTTCAGAGACGAACTATAAAAATTTTGACTAACATTTAATGATGTATTTTTTCATCATATTTATATGTAATAAATTACTACAATTTATAGTATTTTTTGTATAGTGTTTGAATTTATTTTTTTTATTTTGTTTAACATATCGAAATAATGTAATCTAATTTAACTTGAAAAATTTATCAAATTGACTTTCAAAATCATGACATAACAATTAAAATTATCGAAGAAAGTATAATAATAAATAAATTAGAATGAAAAATAATAAAATTGCTCAAGTCTTAAGCCTCATTTGTTTGCACTTAATGGAGGTTTGAAACTTCATCATTCAGATTCACCATTAAGTGCGTTTATTTTTAGGTCTCAGATTCAACCTATTAAGTCCATTTGTTTCTTTTTTTCAAAAACCCTCTTAATAGACCCGAAAAGGTCTAAACAGTCAGATATACAGGAGAGTTTTAATATCATTCAAACTTAGTTAATGAGTTATACTCATTTGTTTGCACTTAATGGAGGTCTGAAACTTCATCATTCAGACTCAATCCATTAAGTGCGTTTACTTTTAGGTCTTAATGATTCAGATTCAACCCATTAAGTCCATTTGTTTCTTCTTTTTTTTTCAAAAAAACTCTTAATAGACCTGAAAAGGTCTAAACATTTAGATATACAGGAGAGTCTTAACACCATTCAGACTTATTTAATAAGTTATAAAATAATATTGTATCGCCTCTCTCGATCTTTGTGTGACTTTTGCTCTCACAACGATAAACTTCCTTCATCTCTTTTCTCAATCAAACACCATTTATTGAACTAGTTGGTGACAAAAATAATGGAGCTCTTAATAATTCTCCATCCCAATCTTCAGTTTCAGCTAAAAAAAAGTTCTTGACAAGAAGAATAACTTATTTACCTAAATTGGAAATTGATGAGAAAGATAATTACTGCTCTAGAGTTATTATATAAAAAAATAGTGCATCTATATTTAAAGATGTATCGAAAAATTAGATGGACTTGGATGGAAAAAGTCTAATACAGTACATGTGTTAGTATATTTTGTAAAAGTGTCTATTACAAAAAAAATGAATGAATGACGTTAGAGGTTCACAAGTTAAAAAATTGGATTAAGGTTATCGAAAAAAAGATAAAAATTCGTTAGTTTTTCTAATTAGCGAAAATATATGTTAGGCACTGATAATATGACACCTTATTTATTATTTTTTTAAAGGAAAATGCACAAGTACCCCCTCAACCTTGCCGGAAATCTCAGAGACACACTTATACTATACTAAGGTCCTATTACCCCCCTGAACTTATTTTATAAGTAATTTTCTACCCCTTTTTGGCCTACGTGGCACTAACTTGAAAAAAAAAATCAACCAATGTTGGGCCCACAAGATAGTGGCCGAAAAGGGGTAGAAAAATATTAATAAAATAAGTTCAGGGGTAATAGGACCTTAGTATAATATAAGTGTGTCTCTGAGATTTCGGGCATAGGTTGAGGGGGTGCTTGTGCATTATCCCTTTTTTTAACTAGTATTTATCATAACTATGGAACTTTTGATATTATATTGTACCTATAAAATACTTTTTATTCGACATTTCTTTTTATGTTATGCTTGATGACAGTGATATTTTTTTAATCAAAAAAATAATATTTATTGTTGAAATGAAAATTTTATAACACCTTGCTAATATAATATTTAATTTCATATGCATATTCAAATATTAAAAACAAATAATAATTATTTTATTATTTAAATTTAAACACCGTATTTTGGTATTTAGATATTTACTCAAAACTAAACACCTAGCTTTTAATATAAACTTTATAAAATATTAAATCATATATTCAGATTCAAAAAATTTAATCTTATAATAAAAATAAATAAAACCTGCTCACCTTCTCCATTTTAAATAAGTGGTGTTTCTAATATATCTTTTCTCTTGAAATAATATTCTATCCTAAAAAATATAGAATATTTTTACTTACTTACGCATAGTCAAAGAAAAATTAATTGTTCTTTAGTTATGTAAAAAAGGGCAACTTTTTTTAAAATGGGATTAATTTCTTCCTGAAACTCTAAAATATTATTTATTTTGAAACTAAGAAAATAGTGTATACAAGATGCTTAAGAAGCGCGTGGATAGTAAAGATGCAATGGGCGGAAGCATTGTGAAGCTTAGATATAATATAACTCGTAATCCCCGTTAATTAATTTGCGCATATATTTATATTTGAATTTTCTTTTATTTTGAATCATAAATAGATGCGAATCTAAAATTTAGACTTTATGAATTCAAATTCATAACTCTACTATGTTTATCAGATTATCAAATACAAAATCTATTTCAAATGTATGATTTCTTTAACATGTATATAACTTAAGTCAAGATTTATGAATTTAGACGAACTCATAGTTTGACCATATGCTTAGTAAATCTCTTTTAGTTAAATTAAATTAAATTGCTAAATAAGTCCTTAAGTTATACATAAAAAAATAAAATTCAACTTGTTAAATTTAACAGGTTACAAAATTTAAAAAGTAAAATATTTTTTACTTTTTTATTTATCCGTTTTCGTCTTTTACCGAATAAGGAAGATTAATAATCAATGAGCAAATTTTATTTTATCTTATTTTTTTTTAAAAAAAAACTGACATTATTTTGATGTAATGTTTCATATCACATGTTCCTTTTTTGTTTTGTTTATTTAATTGAGAAAAAAACTTAAATATGTTATTATATTTTAAAGAAAAATTATTTATCTTATTGATTACAAAATTTGGTTTATCTATATTGTTGCGGTTAAAAGAAGTACTTGTTCATGTTATTTTTTTAATTTTAATTTTGTAAAATAGAATAAGATTTTACACCTCAAATAATTGTTTTGCAAAAATATTTATTTTATTCTGTAAAAAAATGTTAACAATTGTTTGGAGTGTAAAAAATAATTTTATAGAATATAAATTTTTTAAACGATAATTATATTGATAAACTAAATTTTTAATGAATCGTCTCAAGATATATATTAGAACAAGCTTGAGATATTGATGCAATTATATGTTCTTATCCATCCATCATATGTAACAATAATTTATTCTCATTTTCCATATTATTTCTTGGTTTAGAAAACTACAATTATATTTCTCATAATATAATAATCATAAATGGGCACATGGCAAGGTGTATTAACTAATTAACAACATATTTAAATTTTAACTTTTAGAATATTGATGTATTAAAACTTAGTATCTAATATATAATAAGTTGGTCAGTAAAGGTGAGCTAATACCTAAAACATGAAGATGCACAAAATATTATTTTATTGGTATGAATTTATGGAGGAAGAAATTAATTAATCTCGTCTCTTGTACGGATGGGATTTTAAATTGCGATTTTAATTTTTTACAATATAAAATTTGATTATAAGTTTATATCATGTACAAAAGATGCTCCTATTCGGAATAAAGAAATTCTTCGTATTATATTAAATAAAGATTATATTAAAAGATAACTAGTTATAATTATTGTTGAATAGTGAATTTTTATAAGATTATATTTATTTAAAAGTTTGTAATTGCGAATATTTATACATAAAAGGAATTTTTACACATGAGATTTATCAATTTGTCATCTTATATGATATTTTGATTATAAATTATGATTTGCTCATTTGAATCGTATAATTTTAAATTTAAAATAGATCAAAATATTTTTTAATCTTGTGACTTAAACATTCATGTGGAAAATTAGAATTAAATAAATTATATATATAAAAATATTTACTAATAAGAGTAATATTTTTATTCAAAGCAACCAGCTGTATTAAGAAATTAACAACATGTTTAAATTTAAAAACTTCTTGAGATTGCTGCTAAGACAGACAAAATTATAATAATTATTAAAAATTAGAATATTTTGAATATAATTTAGGGACTGATGTAGGTATTTTGCATTATAAATACAAAGTGCTACATTAAGAAGTTTGTATCATTAAAAAAAAACGAAAATTGTTTTACTTAGAGAAAAAAAACAAAATGAGTGAGTCAAAGGTAGGACCAAATCGTCCATTGTTCGTTCTATTTGGTTCATCAATTGTGCAGCTAAGTTATTTTTTTGATGGCTGGGGCGCTTATCTTACTGGTCGCTATGCTCGTAAGGTATTATTATTTGTGTTAAAAAAATTGTTATATAATGTACATCAACATTATTTATATATTTTATTCAATATTATTCAAAAATTAAAATCATCCATCGACTTGCAAATGAAATACTTGTTCGAGATGATATTTATGACTTTTTTTAAATTGAATAAGAGAAATTAATCTTATTAGAGATTAAATTTCTCGTAAATATTAAAGAGTTTTCTATTACTCAAATATGCCATAAGATTGATTAATATATTATATTATTATAGGCCGATATATCACTTCGTGGATATGGTGGTTGGACCTCAAGAAATGCTCTTCAAATTTTGAGCAAAGTCTTTCCACCGGTATGTTTCATTGTTTTTCTATTGAAAAATATGTGGTTATTCTCGTAAAGTTTTGATTTTTAATCGGTGAGAAAAAAAAAAGATATATTTATTAATAATTTTTAATATTTATTTTTTTTTACCGTGAATGTAAATAGATTATTTGACGAAAATGAGATGGAAAAGCATGTTTTATAATACACACATTAATTTCTCATTAATTCGTGGTGAATAAATATTTATTTCTAATAGTCATTTATTAAAGGAGGTTATCAATTAGGAAGATCTAATTCGAAATCTCTTATTCAAATGTGAAAGCATAAATTTAAATAAGTGTTTTCATTAGAATTAAACAAATAGTTTAGACCTTATTTGTTAGTTGATGTATAATTTATTACTCCTTCCGTTTAAAAATAAATGACTCTATTTTCTTTTTAGTCTGTTGAAAAAAGATTTGACCTATTCCTTTTTTTGGCAACAGTTTGACTTTTACTTTTTACATAACATGTTCAAAAAAAGAAATGTTTATTGACAATTTTTAATATTTTAAAGGAACCTTTTTTTTTACCGTGAATTTTTATGTAAATAGATTATTTGACCTATTTCTTTTTTTAGAACTATAAAATTAAAAAATCTTCTTTTTTTTTTAAACTCCGTTTCAAGTTAAACTAGATCATTTTTTTTAAACAAGGACATATAATATTTGCTTTTCTTTAACTTTTTTTCTTTTATGTGAAATTTTAATTTGGTTCATTCACATGCAGAATGATAAAATTCAGCCTTCTCTAGTCATACTTTATTTTGGTGGAAATGATTCAACAGATCCTGATTTTCCTAATAGCCCTAATGTCCCTATTGATGAATATGTTGAAAATATGAGGAAAATTATTCTTCATATCAAGGTAAATTTATTTTTTTTACAACATTTCTAAGTTTAAATCATTATTTGTAAGCTAATTAATTTGATGTCAACTTAATTATTTTGTTTTTTTTTTCTAATAAAAATTTGCAGGGCCTTTCCAAAAACACACGTGTAATTATGTTAACCGCTCCTGCGGTGAACGAGGAACAAATTATTAAATATTATGGGTAATTAACCTTAATATATTTTTTTTCATTTTTATTAAAATAGATTTTTAATTTTGCAGGTCACACTAACCATGTCAGACAATTATTTTAAATAGATCAATAATCTGTTTATTTATTAACTCAATTTATTTTGATATATTTAATTTTAATTCAATCCTCTCATTTTTATTTTTAGGAGTAATTTAGGTAGAACAAATGAGAGAGGTCGTATATACTCAGAAGCTGGTATCAAATTGGCCCAAGAACTAGGCTTGAAGTATATTGATTTTTGGTCAGCCCTCCAGGAACCTTCTGATTGGTTGGATACAGTCTTCTGGTAATCAAAATTCTGCTAATACGTACTTTTTTTCGTCTCAAAATAAGTATCATTTTGATCAAATTACTAAGCAATTTAAAAGTACATATAAGAGAATTAAGGTGTTTAACCAAACTTTTATGAGAATATATATACATAAGTGATTTTGAGTAGTAACAGAAATTGTGTTTCAGTAGTTGGAAATATTACATTTTTTTATATATAAGAAATAATTTTGGAACCTTGATCAAGCATAAACCAGCAAAAGTTTTTCAGGAATTGATAAGTTAAATATAAGTTGATAGTCTTTAAAAAAGAACACAAAAAAATACTTTTTAAAATAAATAAATTCTAAAAGCTGGATCAAACGACCTATAACATACACTATCACATGTGTTACAAGAATATTTCTTTTTCTCTTTTTTTTTGTCCTAAAATACTTACTTTTTAACAATCAATTTACAATAATTATTATGAAAAGATGGGGTTTTTTGAATTTGTTTTTGTAGGGATGGAATGCATTTAACGAAAAGGGGAAGTGAGATTGTGTCTGAAAAAATCACAAAGGTAATCAAAGAGGCAAATTGGGAGCCAACCCTAGATTGGGAAGAAATGCCTGATGAGTTTGATGGGATTCAGCCTCATGATTTTTACTATGAGAAGGTGATGGAGGGTATTAACAGAATAACGGGAATTTCTGATTCATGTCAAGTTAAATTAGAATAATATAATTATGTTACATCTTTTAAACACAATTATTTCAAATTTCTATTATTACAGGATGATTTATGCACCAAACTATCCAATAAAATAAAAATATACAAGAATCATTAGAATAAGTACTAGTCAATTTCATTTTTTTTTATGTGTCTAGATAAACTCTTTTGCAAAAGAGTATCCAATAAATGTTCCTACGATGGTTTTGCCATTTTCTAGGAATTAGGGTTTAATTTGCTTTGTTGTGGAATGTTTCTATGTAACAGTGTATTATGGAAAGTTATTAATATTTGAATGGAATAATGATTATGATATTGGTCCATCTTTCATTCAAAATAGTGTTTCAATTCATTTTGTGGTTTATTTTATACAAATTTTTTTAAGATTTTATTTTATACATTTGAATGGAATAATGATTATGATATTTCTCCGCATGTTAGAAATAGATTATGGTTGATAAAATTTGAGTAAATTGTTGATTTTTTAGAGTTTTATATTTAAAATATTGTGTGTAAATTGTGAAGTACTCTTTTTCGTTGAAAAAATCTTTGACACATAAAATTTCACATGAATAAAATATTTCATCTTGATCAATATTACATAATAAAATTTTAGTATTAATTAAAAAATAAAAATCAAAGTATTACTATCCCTTGAATTGATAATTTTTATTAAAAATAAATTTAAACTATTTCTTAATTCACTCCACCACTCACCTCCCCTCCTCCCCCAAATCTTTGATATTTTTATTTTCAAAAAAATATAAATTCTACACTATCTTATTTAACTCTCGGCTCCTAATTTATTTATTTTATTTACGCTTTTCTTGTTTTGAATCAGATATATACATAAAATTTTAGAATTTTTTTCTACTTGTGTACCAAATATAAAAGAGTGCTATTTTTCGAGGCAATAAATTTTTATTTAATTTAACTAATACTAGTAATTTATTTAATTTTGTCAAGGTGAATGTTTTGTTCATGTGTAGTATGATTGACAATTTTTTTTAAAATAAAAGCGTTAATATAATACACACTATGATCAAACTAATTAATGGTTAGTTAGATATGAAACTTACAGTATCTATAATTTAAATATGAAACTAAAAAAATATAGTTTAAATATTTTTTAAAATTTATTTCATAAAAAATAACTAGTTTCTTTGACGAAAGTATAATTCAAAAACAAATGACAACTATATGAAATATATGAGCTATTTCTTAAAATGATTATTCAAAAACTATATACCTCATATAATTTTGAAAGTGAATTCTAAAAATAGCGGTGTGTATACAAATTTGTTTAGATTCTTATTTTATGAAGATAGTATAATCGATTCAAATAAGTGTGAAATAATTGATAAAAAATTATAATTTAACTTGGTGGATCTCAAAGACAACACAATATCATTATAAAAATGTAACTCCTCAGATATTAACTAGATTAAGATAAATTTTATTTGAAGATTAGTTTAAGTTATTTTTCTTACTTTTTATTTTTAATTGACTTAATTTTTCTTTTTTTTTAAAAAAAATTAATCCAAATAGACTCAATTTTTTAACTTTTAAATATTAAATTAAAATAATAATAGAAAAAAAAATATAAATACCAATTTTGTTTTGGGACCAAAATAGTCCTTTTCACCACACGCCGTTAATTCAATGTTGTTCCTCTTTTTGTGTTCAATAGGTTTATGTCTCAATTTTCCTCTTTAGTTGTTAGCGATAATTTCAGTTTGATTTTTATTTATTTGGAGAAATATGGCTTCAATTTCTTCTACTCCAAGGACTGTAGAAGAGATCTTCAAAGATTATAGTGCTCGTCGTGCTGGGATACTTCGTGCTTTAACTTATGGTAACTTCTTCATATATATATATATATATATTTATATATACATGTTTTTGCCTGTAATTTTTGTTTATTTTGATGAATTTGAAATTGTTTTTGTGTTTTTTCAGATGTGGAAGAGTTTTCTCATATGTGTGATCCAGGTAATTTTCAATTTTATTGATTTTTTTGTTGCTTTATAGATCGAATTTATATTTTTGGCTTGGGATTGCAGTAGTTTGAGATATTTGAGGTTTAGGAATAATTAAAGTGAGAATTAGGGGCAGAAGTAGGGAGTGACAAATTAGGGCTTGAAAAATATGTACTAACTTTTTTTGTTTGATATGATAAGTATAGCTATAAAAAAGAAGTTTTTTTTTTAATCAGTGAAGTTTGTTAAAAAAACATACAAATTAAAGTTTTACTAATAATTGGGTCTGTGTGGAAAGTTGGCTATTGTGGGTATAAAGAGAGGTAAAGGTAAACCTAGAAAGTTTTGGTGAGGTGATTAGATAGGACATGATACACCAGCAACTCGATCTTGTCAGGACATGATCCTAGAGAGGAAGATATGTAAGTCGAGGATTAGTAGGTAGTCGAGTGTTGTCTAGTTCCCATATCAATATATGTTTTTTCTTTGGTTTAGTTATCATTTTATTTGTTGTTGGTAGTTGTTCCCTTCTTAATTGTTTTAAGCATGACTTCTTCGCTATTGTATTTGCTTTACATACTTGATTTTTGATATGCTTGCTTTAGCCGAGGGCTTACCGGGAACAACCTCTCTATCTTCACGAGGCTGTGTGACTTCCACTTGTGGGATCACATCGAGATGTTGTACGAACAGTTATCTAGGTAGGGTTATGACTCATTTTGACCCAACCATCTCTACCGAACTTATTTCTGGGCAGGTCGGGTAGTGACCCATTTACTGATTTAGACCTTTTTAGCCCAGAGTCCTGCCAAACCACCATTTTCTACCTCTATTGCTGGTCAATGATCTTCAGATTTTATCAGGAACTGTCTGCATTAATTTACTAGGGATGAAGTAGTCCTTAAAGAACAAATTTCTCTTAAAAAGATGCCATCTTTTTGACAAGTATTTACTAGGGATGAAGTAGTGCTTAAATAACAAAGTTGATCTTTGTGAAATATCTTTTACTGAACCTGCTGTGACTTCTTCAATATTTTTCCTTTTAAAAGTATGTTGTGGTTCTAAGTTTGTCTTGCGTTAACGTCTCTCTCTGTTTTAAACTCATTGGCATCTCTTTTGTAGAAAAGGAAAATTTGTGTCTGTATGGACATCCGAACGAAACATGGGAAGTCAATCTTCCAGCTGACGAAGTTCCACCTGAACTCCCAGAGCCAGCTCTTGGGATAAATTTTGCAAGGGATGGGATGAATCGTATAGATTGGCTTTCATTGGTTGCTGTGCATAGTGATTGTTGGTTGCTTTCTGTGGCTTACTTTTTTGGAGCTCGTCTTAACAAAAATGAAAGGTACTCGTCTATTTTTTACAAAATTGAGATAATTTAATTTAATCAGATGTGAAAAGAACTCTATATATGTAGGTTCTTTTTCCACCAATTTTTTAGTGTAGATGTGCATATACCTCAAAAACTCCTACTCTCTGATATATTTTACTGATGGCAGATGATATTATTTGTAGGAGCTTTAAAATAGTTAATATATAATTATGTATTGTTATGGTTATAACTCCCCTTCACATATGATTCTTGTTATCCTTTTGAAGTCCTATATGGAAAGTAGACAATTGTCCAATCTTGATGATGCTAACGGGATAAGATTGAATATTGTAGTCGTTGAGGAAGGTAACTTAAGCGGGAAAGTGTCACAAGTTGTCATTATAAACACGGATGACAGATTAGCCCGATTTCTTTTTGGCTATCTTGTTTCTTATTTTTCTTTTATTATACTACACATTTAAAGTGAAATTGGTACTGTAATGTTGATGATTTTCTCTTTTGCTTAGAATTCATAAGAAAGTCTCCTTACATGACATTAATTCTTTTTTGTCCTGCAATCGTTCTAGACTTCATGGGAAATCGTAACTGCAACTTGATGCAAGGAATCTATATCATCTCATATACAGAATAGGCATTATGAAAAATGTTTGACCTTTATGCTTGATTGCTTGTAACTGATGTTATTAGTACTCCCTCCGTGTCAATTTACGTGTTTCTTTCCTTTTTGGCCTGTCCAAAAAGAGTGTCTCTTTCTATATTTAGGAAGTTTTTCAATTCCAACGTTCAACATAGCAAGTTTGTGACCACAAGATTAACAAGGACTAGACACATATTTAATTTAAAACCATAAAATTCAAAAATATTCCTTTATTTCTTATATTTCGTGCCCAATCAAACTAAGTCACTTAAATTGGGACTGGTAGAGTATGCCTTTGAATAAGGACTTAGAGTTATGTTTAACATCAATTTCATACATGTAAGAGAACTAATATGACACGGCTAGCATTAATCCATACGTTCTGGAGCACTGTCTAAATTCTTCCTATGTTATGTGTTCATGTTGCATGGGCATCATTACATATCTGTTGGCCGGAAAACTGGGTTTCTATGAGTAAATATTGGAAAAGGAACATCTATTCCCTTTTTAAGTGTAGATGGAAATGTTGAAGTGCAAAAAGTTGAGAAATTATTATGTGGCAAGAGTGCTCTGACAGATCATTAGCTGCTTTATGCTATCATATTGCAGTTTTGCGGTTTCCTATTTATCTGGACTTTGAAATGAGCCAATTTCATATCCAGATGATTGTTCTTTCTAAATGTGTTCGCTTGGAGATATTTCTTATTGGGTGGATTGGATGCTTTCAATTGATCGTGTGTATTGTCTTGTTTGTCCAACAGTGGATCGCAACAGTTTGCTAGAAGGCTGTACTTCACTAAGACTATCCCTCAACAATTAGGATTACATGTTCTCGTGCTTTTACCGCTTCCAAGACTTAATTTTACTTCTATCTATAACCCTTGTTCTTTTGCATGAACAGAAAGTAGGCAAAACATATTCCTGATCTTTAATGAACATAACATTTGTTTATATCCCTCACACAGTCTATGAAAAAAGATCAGATTGTTCATTGATTCTAGTTTTCATGAATTATCTACCCTCAAGGAGACTAATCTCTGTTTTGGAGATAGTGTCTGCTACAACTTCTAATTTGAATTTGTTAAGTCTGCTCATCAACTACTCGCTCTTTCATTTATGGAACACTGATAGTTCATCTTGCTACAGAGTGGATGTTGTGGATCTCGCGTATTAGAGTAGAAGATTAGCAGGAGTAGGCTGTTGTCTTGCCTTGCTTTTGTTATCTATCATCATATGTTTTGTATTGTGTTTTGATTATCATACTCTGCGGGTATAGTTTCTTTCCTGTAGGTTCTACATTGCTTTTCGTATTATCTGCTATACTTTCTTCGTTGTTTTCCTCCTCTTTTTCTTGGGTTTGGTGCACTTGAGCCGAGGGTTTCTCGGAAACACTCTACCTCCATGAGGTAGTGATAAGGTCTGAGTACACTCTACCCTCCCTATACCCCACTTGGTGGAATTTCATTGGATATGTTGTTGTTGTTATGTTTCAATCGAGACACTGTTTACTGTCTTCAAGAAGAAAATTTTAAATTGCTCTATCCTTTTTGTGCTTTAGTATTTATCCACCATTTTGTATGCGGGTTGGCTAGTTTGGCTCTTTTTGTATGTGCTAATTAAGTATTCAAATTTCCAATTGGTTGTGGTGGATGTCTGGAGACTTGGAGTAGGAAAGTGAATCAACATATAGTCTCACTCTCTTGTCCATGTGGATCCATAAACAAGTGATTTGACAGTGTTCATTTCTGCTCTAAACTTCATTAGACATGTGTTGATCTCCACTTTATTTGTATTCAATGAGTCTGTTTAGATTAAATTTAGTACTATCTTTCATTTAATGTGAATTCTTTCCAAAAAGAATGACACTTTTCTTTACTTGCAAGCAATTTAACTTTAGACTAACCATTACTCTTGATGGCATGCTTTTATAGCCGCAGAATGTTTAAAACCACATGTTCTAAAAATCTTTGTTCTTTTCTCAAGTTCCATGTCCTGTCGAACAATGTCAAATAAAATGAAGTGATGTAATAGTAATCAAGTGAATTTCTACGAGCTAGAAAAAAAGGGGAGGGTTGCATTTGATTGGTTTGCATACAGTCTACCCTCCCCTCCCATACTCCACTTTGGGGTTTCAATGGGTGTTTTGTTGTATAAAGAAAAAGCACGTAAGAGATTATCCTAACTTTCCTCTGTTGTTTCCTGCTCAGGAAGCGTCTGCACAGCTTGATCAACGATTTGCCCACTGTGTTTGAAGTCATAGCAGAAAGAAGGCCCATAAAAGACAAGCCTAGTGCAGAGAATGGGAGCAAATCCCGTGGTAGTATACAGGTAAGAAAAGACATCCTTCAACAATATCTTCTCGTTGTTTTCTCTTCCTGAGTTGGTAGGTACCATCAGGTTGTTGATGCTCGTTAATTAAGTTCCTTGTGCTTCGATCTATTGGAGATTCAGATTCTCTCTGTGTCCTGATCTAGTATTATCTTTTTTCTTCGGATACGAAATAACTGCTCTCCCATTTCTGCAGAGGACAAGTGATGTTCAGTCTAAAAGCACTGCAAAGCTGGCAGATGAAAGTTGCGACGAGGATGAAGAAGAACATGGTGAAACACTTTGCGGATGCTGTGATGGGCATTACAATGCTGATGAATTTTGGATTGGTTGTGATATCTGCGAGAAATGGTTCCATGGTAAGTGCGTGAAGATAACACCTGCTAAAGCTGAAGGTATAAAGCAGTATAAATGCCCTGCATGTAACTTGAAGCGGCACCGACCATAGTTCCCTCATGAATTAGAAAGAAGGCTCATATGCTTTGGCAACTAACAAAATAGATAGTACAGCATTATGTATTGGGGATCCTAATGGTAACGACTTCGCCATGACCCCTTTTAGATCCATTTTCAATGTCCAATATATAGGAAGTTTGTTAAATTTTTCTTGAACCCTTGTTAGCTTGTTGATTGCCATTGATTTTAGATTTCTTCACCAAAATGATGTAAGTAGAAAGCAAAACATCAAGTTTTGGAAGTTTGACAGCTCTTTTGGTTGTTTCTAAAATTGCCTATAATTTTCACAAACAACTTCTCGTATTTTCACTTTGATAAGTTCACACGTTTTGTTTACGATGATTTGTCAGTATTTCGCCATGACTGTCTTCTTCTACGTTATTTTTCTCTTGGACATGAGCTGAAAGTCTATTGAAAATAATCTCTCTATTTCTATCTTTTTCAGATTTTATTTTGTGGGATTATATTGGATTCGTTGTCGTAGACAAGATAGTAATGCTTGGCTATGCCAACTTCAGACACATCGTAGATCTGAATTTGATCCGAAAATATCTTTAAAATTAAATGCTTTGTAATTTTAGGTCATTCTTTAAATAAATCCAGCAAATGTACCATACTTTATTTAATACATCAATTAAGAGGTGCAAGGCCATAAAAAGTTCAATTAAATGCAACAATTTAACATATAGCCAACCACATGGGGAAATAATAGGTCTGCTGGATTAATATTACTGGCCAACTGCCACTCTGTTTGCCATCTGCTAATGCTAAATAAAAGTTGTTAATAAGATGAACAATTAATATGAGTTATGAGACGATTTTTTTCTATTAGATGATTAATTAATATAAGACGTAGGGAGGTAGTAATTATTATGACGTGTATTTTTACAAATAAGGACGGGGAATAATAATCAATTTATTTTTCCAAATTTCTTTTATGAAATGGTAGTTAGAGGATTCAATCATGTTTTTTTTTTCTTTTTTCCAAAGAAGTATTTTATTAAAAATTAAAAGCTTATCCTGAAAGTACAAATGAGAAAATAAAATCTTTAAAAGTGTACCAACCAATACTCTTTGACTGTATCGATTGTGAAGTTACTCATCTTATCTGGTTATTTGTATTGAATGCTCAGTTATAACTGCTCCCTCATTCACTTTCAATATTTATTTTAAAAATATTTATTTTTTTCATTTTATATTAGTTAAATTTTTGAGATATTTTTTATTTTTAAAATTAATTTAATTGTTCAATGTTCAAAATTATTTTTAAAATATTCTTCCAATTTTATTCTTTATTGAATTTTCAATGTGATGAAATCAATAAATTTGACAATAATTAATAAGGATAAAAATAAAAAACTATGTTCAATTTATGTCTTAATCTGCTTTTCTTAACGGGTGTGAAACACCTCAAAAATTCAATTAATATTGATTTTACCCTTATTAGTTTGAACTTTGAAGTAGATTAATTAAAAATTAAGATTTCTAGTCAAAATTAATTAATTAAAGGTATAATAGACAAAAAAAATTGTCATTTTTTAATTTGTCAAAATGAACAAATAAAAATAAAAAATTAGACCAGTAATTAGAGGCAGGACGAGTAATACTTGTTTTTTCTTCTTCAAAAGATTAACTATACATAAATATTTAATTATGAATGCAGTGACTAAAATAAGCTCTGAGTTAGTGGCAAATTCATAATCCATTAACTTCAAATTTCACTCTATATGTAATAACTACATATTTTCACAAAAGTGGCTTCTTCTTGTTTTTTTTTTCTAGTACCCAATAAAAAATATTTTGGGCATTATTATTTTATTTTATTTTTAAAAAAAGTAGAAAATGTATTCTCAATTTAGCAAGTTTGAATTATGGGTCGATCTCATGAATACTAATTTTTCTTATTTGTTTTACGAAAACTTAATCTAAAGAACTTTAATTTTTTTCTCATTTAAGAAAGTGAAAGCATGCTAGACACCAACTTACCTTGTACATTAATTAAGCAATGAACATATATAAATAATAAATAATAGAACATTACATAATTATAAAAAATTATTTAGGGGACTTAAGTGATTCAATTTGATATTTTCCAGTAAGACCTTTTGTTCTAATGAAAGATCTATACTCATTAAAGGTCATTGGAGAATATAAAGCAGGACAATCTTTTGTAACAAGTTGATTTGCAGGCTTGATGAGTTTGTCACCTCCAGGATTATAAAAGAATGCCAAGGACAATCTCTCTTTTTTCGAATTCACGATTACTCTGTGCTCTACACTCTTGTATATTGCATTACTCAACACCTGATGCAACGTGACACAGTTTATATGACATAGTTTGAATTAATAATATGAAATTTAAGAAGGAAATAATAGTTTTGTAGTAATATTTCTGTGATGGTGAGACTTTTGAAATTTGTGATCTTAAAGACTTAAATATATCATAACATTACTGCGATTATAAAAGCTTCTCGTCAATTAAAAGTAAAACGGAAAATGTAAAATCAAATTATTTCCAAATTTAAAAACATTTCTTTTTTGACATAAAATTAAAAAATGAATAGTTGACGTGTATTGTCATTGGACTTTACACACTATAATAGAAATTTTTTTTTGTCACATTGAAGTAAATTAAATGTATTTATTTCTATTATAACAAAAAAAAAAAGAATCACCTTGATGAGTAGTCTTTTAAGTTATATTAACATGGTGAAAATAGTCTTGTTCATTTTGTTAATTACTTTACTATTAAAGTGAGTAAATTTTAATAATTTTACTATGATTGTCGATAAAAGTCAATTATATATTCTATTTTAGCTTTAAAAGGGCTAATAAAAGTTAGAGATGTATAAGTTACCTGAACTTGATCTCCGATATTGACAATGAAGGCATTGGGAATCGGATTAACAGTTAACCAGTTATTGCCATGACGGATTTGGAGGCCGGGGATATCGGGGTCGGGGAGGAGAAGGGTGATGCCACCAGGGTCGGAGTGGGGAGAGAGGCCGTGTGTAAGTTCCGGCTGAGGGCATTTTGGGTAAAAATTTACCCTTAAGCATGCACTTGTTTCATTATTTCCTCCAAAACTTTGGTGTATATAATCCTCATTTAATCCAAGGCCTATCGATAAAATCGTAGTTAATCTTTTGCTTAATTTCACTAATTCTTGACCATATTCGGAGATCAAATTCCTGATAAATCATAAGAAATGGTAGTTAATTATAGATTAAAAAAAGAAAAAGAAAAAAGAAAAAAAATTTGCATACGCAAAATGTATAATGCTAACGTTACTACAAACAAAGTTTTTTCTCATCACGAATTAATGTGAAATTTATACTATAAAATCTGTTTTTTTCTATTTATTTTCTATCAAATCAACTCACTGAAAACATGAGGAAAATTATATTTCTACTGAAATAGTGAAAAACTTTAGTATGAAAAAACATTACTATGTTTACGTTTCTCATTTGAACTAATGAAAATATCCTTATTAAAATACTCACTAAACATTTTTTAGTGGAATAATAATAATTTTTTTCAACTACTGTAATGATATTAGAAACTTAATTTAGTTGATTGGCGAAATAAAAATAGATGAGAGTGGATAACAATTAAACATGATCAAGTGACAAAATTAAATTTTACATGCAAAAATATGTTACGCTTATAATGATTAGTTTGATGTAATATCAAATCATGATTTCATATTTTATAGTCGCTAAGAAAAAAAAATGTATCGGTCTCTTTATTTCATTTTATATAATATTTTTTTAATTTGACATAAAATAATATATACCTGCATGAAATCGGAATACGAGGCCATTTATTCTCATCCCTTAACTCTTCGGGAAGATAATGAAGAAAGAAATAATCACACCAATCCAATTTAGCACCAATCTCCGTACCAATACGACTCCCATATCCTTCATAAGTCGCTGGCGAATTCGCAAACTTTTGCTTTTCCTCAAGTGAAAGTTGAAAAAACTCGTACCAATTAGTACGAGTTTTCTCCATCAGCTCGTGGCTAACCCCGTGGTTAGCCACTTGAAAGAAACCCCACTCCCTACACGCATTGAAAATCACGTCAATTGTTTCCTTGCGAACAAACTCATTTGAGGAATTAAGATTTTCGAGATCAATTAATGGTAAGTTAACTGATGTTGTTATTTTCGTATCCATGATATTAAATGGTATGTTCGAAGGCGGTTTTACGAAACAATTAGGGATTTTTTGAATATCGCTTTTGGACAAAGATTGAACACGAACTATTGGCTCAGACCAACTTTGTAAAAAACTCATAATTATTTTTTTTTAGTATCGAAGGAACAAATATAAAGGAAGTTTTTTTTTTTGTGTCTGTGTTTTTTTTTTTATATGGATGGATGAGGATAATGTTAGTGATAATTTTGAGACATATTTATATACAAAAATTTAAGACTATAGTTCAATTCCGGCGCCGTGATGAACTTGCTAACTTTTATTACTAGGTCCCTCGCTAGCTGGATTTTTGATACGATTATGTTGTTGGAGTAAATTTTTATTTATTTAAATTAATTTTACATAATAATACGATGATAGTAAAATTAAAATTTTCATTAAGAATGTCATTTAAATATATATAATTTCTATAATTTTTTATTTATATAGTAAAAATTTTCAACGAAGTCAAATATACTGACCATCTTAATCTATAATTTATTTTTAATTTATTTATCTTATTTTTATTTAGTATAAAATTTAATTTTTCTAATGGATATAATAATGTTAATTTTATAATTTTAAATATTCTATTTCAAAGTTAAAATTAGATTTTAAAAATAGGTAAAAAGAATTAAAATAATAAATTAAAACAGATAAAAGTAATTTTTTTCGATATAGTAGTAGGTGTAAAAAAAACAAATTGTACGTCAAATCGTGGTATAGCTAAAAACACGTGAAATAGTAACACCCATACACGAGTTTTGGTCAAATGGGGTCACATTAACATACTTGTCATGTCATTTCATAACAAGATATTCGAACAGATACAAAATTCATATAATTTCTAAAAAAAAAAAGTATTAGTCTTCATTACTTGTACGTTTCTTTATTTATGGAACTTAGGTCTTATTTGTTTGTATTTAGTGAGTGAGTGGATTTTTTTTTACGATTAAATCTTTATTATTTAGATTCAGTTCATTAAGTTTGTATGCTTTAGTTTTTCTTACAAGTCTTTTAATAGATCTGAATGCATATGAATGAATAAGATTTTAACACACTTTTAACATCATTCAGACTAAAAAATAAGACTCCTATCTTAATTCAACTACATC